GTGGGCGCACACTCCGGGGCCCCCTTTAATTAATGGCGAGGCGCGCGCGACGAGCACGTGGAGGAGGAACCCAGGCTGAACCCCCAGACGAATTATTTGGAGAAGCGACGCCGCTTCCTGGGGCTGGGACAAAGAGTAAAAAGGGGTGCCGTTACTGACCCGCCGCGGGAACATGTCCTCGTTCGGGAAATTTACCATAATTTCCGGGAAACGCGCGAGTGACAGGTGTTCGGCCCGGGGTTGCGCTGTGTTTGACTTGGAATTTATTCTTTTTAGCCTCGATTACCATGCGTGGTGGCGCGGAGATAACAAGTTTAATGCTTGATAAGCCTTGATGAGTTATTAGATCCGCGGACAGGATACCGGTATTTTTCTCATTCGTTACTTTTCAAGGGTTGTTGAATTAATGGGCTCGTTCGCGTTTAGCCCTTCTTTATGCGGAGCGTATATTTGATCGTTAGTATGAATATCTATACGTTTGTATTGAATATAATGTAACGAATAGTGAGGAATATTCTTCAAGAAGCGAGCAGTAATTTTAAGTTAGAGGATTCTTTGAAGCTCAAACCAGTTATCTATTCAATCAAAACACACTCATGACATTTTCCCCGCTTAATACAGCGTCTATTGAATCCCAACACAAAGGTTCTAGTAACAGTAAGCACGGCAATCGTGCAGAGACGAAGAGAAACGCCGAATCAACATCGATCGACCATAATTATCACTCAATGAATCTTTCGGCGGAGTGGATACGCAGCTATTAAACGGTGGTTATGGCAATATGGCCGATCGATTTTTTCCGGGAAACAAATAAAGCGGTTCTGGTCCCCGCGAGCAGAAAGGAAAATTATTCAAAGGGCTCCGGCCGGTCGAGGTTATCCCTCTTTGTTCCTCCCTTCTGGCCGCCCCCGCCAGCTCCCTAATACTTGGACGGTTGTGTGCGTGCGTGCGTGCGCGCGGAGAGGGGTCTGCGCTGGCATAAGCACAGTGCATATGGGTATCGGAAACGTGCGTAGATCACGCGGGATTATTCGGACACCCCTGCGCGCTCTAAGCTCCGCTGGATGCATGCTAATTGCCATGAAGACGTACACTCAGCCGCATTATGATGCGCATACGTCACCGTGCCCGGTGCTCCTCCGTGCATTGTTATGCGCCGGTACAAGTCGCGGAGGACTTAACACGTTACCTGTGTTAAGTTACTGCCGCGGAACGTCTTCCGTGCTCACATGAGTCCGTGCGCGGTGAACAGATTGTCCGATGATGCACCGAAAGAAAGTTTTCGCGGCGAAGACGTGGAATTATTATTATTAACGCCAGCTCGTGGATTCAATATGACGCACAGTGGATTTTGTTAATGTTATTTGGTAAACGTTTACGTCGATGTTGATCAGTACAATCATACGAGTGTGCATTGCGATTGTCCGTTTTGAAAACTTGCATTTTTATGATGTAAAGAACGGCAATCTCTTTGGGGACAATTGAGTAAATTGTATGATAGATGTCTGTGAATATAGTGTTAATTATGCTTTTCAGTATGAATCTAGATTTGTGTTGTTTATTGCGTGGTTCTTAAAGTACTAGGATTTTTTATCGTAACTACAAGTGTGGAAATTGATTGCTGTGTCACTGTCAGTTTGGTGCATTTGAAACATTTGATATTGAAGAAGAAGCAAAATTGTTAAATTTAATTAACTATTGAAGCTGTAAAGCAGTTTCTTGTGAAATATAATTCTACAGACTCTCCCGAGGAAAATGGTATCTAATTTTAAGAGATTGTTAACATTATTTTTATTCGAAAAGCAAAGGCGACTTCTTATACTCGTGTTATTTATCTATAAAGCATTCTATGTACTTAATGCTGCCACGCGTATGTTTCTCGATGCGGAATTTGCCTGCCAGCGTTCCGCCTTTATACTTCACTCGTGCATGATCCAGAAAAAAGAGGGTACAAAGGTGGCGCGAAAGCCGCCCCTTCTAGCGGCTCCTCGAGGGTGAAATACTCCCGAAAACAGCGCAGTCAATGAAAAGTGCGACGCAGAGTGAACGTGTCGCGGATCAAAAATCCCGGCTCAAAGAATCTTCCTCTGAGTTCTCTTGAAATTACATTCTCCTTGGCGTATCAATTTAATAATCGTGCAAACCATTTCCATGCAAGTGGAAAATTTCATCCGGAAGCCCTTCGTCTTTCGCAACCACAATCTTGTCTCCAACAACTTCAAAATGTATTGAATTTTCTCAAATGTTCTCACAAAGATAACCTCTTAAACATACTGTGCAACCTATCGCAAACCCACAAGCAGACGTTGAACGCTGCTTTGTCCCCATCGCATTTCGTTTCATTTCACCCCGAATATTTCACATTCCATTGCATCCACCGAAGATCCCGAACACAGAAAAACGAAAAGAAATCCGAGAACAGGAGTCATCTTCGTTCGAATACGGTTCGAATCGAATTCTTCGATGTCCTTGAGTCGTTCTCCCCCATCCTCTTTAATTGTTCTGATCGCGGAGCCTCTTCGGGCCGGAGGCAATCCCTCAAAACGCGGAATGCCACGCAAATTCCGGGTTCGCCCAAATTGCCCCGGCGCGGCATCAACATTCAGACGACATGCCCATGGCTCCCGGGGCTTCTGTATCGATGATACGCGAACAGAAGAGGAAGCCGAAGGCGCCTTTCATCCTGGGTCTCGGGGATCGCGCGACGCCAGCAGAGCTTTCCAATAAACGGAGAGATCTCTCGGCTTTGTGACTGCCAGAAGACAGATAAGGTATGCCGAGGAAGGGTCCTTAGCAAGGACTTTCGCCGAGAGGCCGCGCATATTAAATTGTTTGCCTCACAATGTCGCCCCCGAGTGGCTCCTTCCAGCCACTATCGCGATATTGGCAACCTGTTAATATACTTTGCGGAATGGGCATATCGATCGACGGGACTTGGCTTCCGTGGAAGTGCCCGTGAAGCTTCGGTCTTGGCCTTCGCGGCTGGAACCTTGTGGTCATTCAATTAGTCTGCATTGTTCTAATCCCTGTTTTCAAGGTGGACCTCAGGTATGGTGATCCTTCCTTTCTGATTCGCAATCACTTCAACTATGGACCTTCATTCAATTACTTCTATATTGAATTTGTATATTGATAGGTGTTTCTGTATTGCTTCTATATCGATGTTATCACCGTGAATTATTCAGTTTAGAATAATAACGGCCATTCTAACGTAAAACATGTATTACATAAACGATCAAAGAGAATTATAATAGTTGTATATAATTAGATCAGTCTGTTTCGAAAAATATTTCAAGAAGAGCGGTTGTAGCCGCTATTCAGATCTACTAGTATTATACAAGAATTTTATCCCCAATATTGAGAACGTGAATATTAAACCAGTACACTTTTTGTACAAATTTAATATTGAGAGTGTTCTACGAGAACTACTTGCTGAGAGCGGTCCAAAAAACGGGCAGCCCCTTGCCAAGGAACAAGAACCGCACCGTTACCATTAGCAATTTGTAAAACGTCGCCGGTCTTCAATATTCCCGGGGTTGGTGGGCTTATATTAAAAGCGGCGGACAGCGAAAAATTCGCGTTATAAATATAAAACACGGTCCTTGGCGTCGATTTCGGCGCGAGGAAAATTTCCACGGTGTCACGGCGTTCGAATATCCCGGTGGAATGAGATCGAGGCCCTTTCTACGTGAACCGCGACCGATAATAAATCATTCGGCGCCGCGACCGTCTCTCACGCGTCGTTTCTTCTGGTCCCGTCGAACTTCTCGGGCCACGAGGAGAACCACGTATCCCCTATCCGCGCGTTAACCTTACCCCTAATCAGTTTTAAAAAGCCATAAAGCGCATTAACCGGCCGGGATATTACTGGCCGATCGATGTTATGAATTTATTACGGGGGAGTAAACGAGATTACCGGCTCGTAAGCGGAATCGCGCCGGTGTAATCGTCTTGCCGCGCCGTCTGCTTAATTACCGTAGTGCCTTCCACGGTTAAATGATGCGAGGATCTACCTGGAACAGTTTAACCGGCCATTCTCGGCCCGAATTGTTTGCTTTAACTCGAGGCGACGGATTAATACGGTTTAATTACTCGGTTTTATGGACTATCGGTGTACGCATATTATTGTTCGTTCATCTTCATCCCTTAGATCTTACTTTACCTTTTACACGATTTAGTTATTTGCTGCTTCAGATAAATTGTTTGGAAAGTATGTAATCTGGTTGCATTCGTTACATAGAAATACAGTTCGAGAACTGTCTTTTCGAAGCTTACGAAGTCCTTAATTTAGACTAAAACTTTTAAAGGAAACAACATTTCGACCTACTTATTTCCACTATTTCAACCCTTTACACTCGAAAGTTGTTCACTAAAAATGTTTAACATTTTCAAATCAATTACGGATGATATTTTTTTAAAACTGACTCGAAGAGAAATTACACGTAAATTAAGGAACGAAGCTATTTTGTTCAGTGTTTCACACATTCACGTATTCTGCAAAGTTTACTATTAAATATCAAACTTCATACTTTTACTGTACCACCTTGACAAAAATAAACAATAATCTGAAGCCATTTTTTTAATCATATAATCTACGTTCTTCTCGAAACTAATCATACTATCTGAAATCTACTATTCACTGTCGAAAACACCTTACCGAGCCCTGCTCCGGTAGCCCAGAATCCCAGCAGAATCCCCAACCCCAGATAATGGCGAGAGAAGAGACAGTAGGATCAGCCGACGCAGCGTTTTCTCCGCTTTGTCGGGCCGGTCGGCTCTAGAATTTTTCAAGCGTCGCGATAACGCGTCGCGGAACACGCGGACGATCGTCGAGAGGTAGCCGGCAGCTCGCCGGAACATCGCGCGGCTACGTATGCACGCGTACGAAGCGTCGGTGAGCCCACGCAAGCGCACCGTGCCGCGCCGCGCCGTAGAAATCCTCCCCGAGGGTTGGAGTGAGTCAGAGACCGAAGGGAGGCCGTTAATCGGCGACAGGCAGTCAGTCGGTCGGCAACCAGCGCGCCACACGGACGTCATCTTCGTGTTTTCCGCCCGCTTCCACGCACGCCGGTTTCCTCTCTCACGCGTGCCACCCGTCGCCTAACGAACCCGCAGCTTCGTCCTCTTCGTCTTCCGCCCGCCGCGAGATCTCACGAATATCCGAGGAGAACCGTTCCGCTCGCCCTCCACCCTTCCACTAATCAGAGAGAGAACCGGCGGATCGTCTGAGACTTCCGTCGAAATGAGACCACCCCCGTCGTCGGGTGTCGCGAGCAAGTCCCCGGAGCGTCTGGTGTGCGATTAAATCGAGGCAACTTCGAACGGAAGCCGGAAGGAAGTTTAAATGAGAATCGTCTAGAGTTCGGGTTCGACGATCAAAGTGGAGCGGCCGGCCGATTCAGACGCGGAATCCAGCGCACGTTGGTCCACCCAGGGATTCAAATGACGACCGCGGTGCGGGACATGACAGTGAGACCGCCGGGCAGTTGACAGGCGACCGCCTAAGCTGGCAACCGGGAGATGATCGAGGCGTTCAGCTGATGGTGCGAGGGGAACGTTGAATCCTTGAAACGCTTGACAAAGATCGTTGCCTTAGTCCTTGCTGCGGAGGACGCCTGGTACTCTTTAGCTCGTGAATTCTACCTCGAGATATCTATTTTTTTGTATGTATCTTCTAAGACCGGAGGGAACCGTCGCCACCGTACGTCCCGTCCTCCCCCGTCGACGTAGGTCTTCCAGAAACACGAGCGTGCCCCTTGCCGGTGTCGCCCTAGCATCGAAATTCTATTCCCGCTACGAGTTATCCTGGTTCCTAAACGATTCTACCATTCTGCGTTTCGGTCTTCGGCATCTCCCGTGGAATCTAGCCGAGATCTTTTTAAGGGAGGGAAAGAGAGAGAAGAGTCTTCTTCCCTCGGCGAGCGACACGTTCGTCGGCCGACCGGTTGCGTTCCAGCTGCAACGATTTCGGAACAGCTGCGACAACATCCAGCGGAGGGTGGCGGAGATCGTTCAGGGTTGCGTTCGGGACCGTCGTCGAAGGTGACACGAGAGACGACGGAGACGGGGCTGGCGGAGGAGGAGCAGGAGACGCTGGAAAAAAAGGAGGTGGAGGGTGACAGTAGTGTTGTCGGTAGCAGCAGCAGCAGCAGCAGTGGTGGTGGTAGCAGTGGTGTTGTTGGTGATAGTGAACGGACCGGCCGCGTTCAGGATAAGAATACCGACGTTGCCAGTGGTAGTAGCGGGGTTAGTGGTGTCCGCGCAAGACTCTCGTACAGGAGTGGCACGTTGCGACTTCTGAAGGGACTGGTCGAGGGCCCGATAGGCAGGGTGGCAGCACGAGTGCACCGTTGGGGAACAGCAGGAGGGGTCAATCCCTCTGCACCCTCTGGACGGGGGGAATGTCCCGGTGGAGAGGGTACCCCCCGTCGGAACGTCCTCGACGCCACGAAGAATTGCCGGCTGATGGGCGCCAACCTCACTAAGCAGAGCAGGGTGAGTTCTTTCGGGGACTGCGACGCGCCGCGTGCGATCCTCTCGCTCGGAACCGTCACGCGTGCCGCTTCCACGTTTCTCTTCCTTCTTCCTGCTTCTCTTCTTTCTCCCTTTCTCTTTCGCCTTTCGGTTTTGGCCGAATGCTCTCACTATCGGTTAGGTATTGATCCGGTCTCGGTTTGATCGAATATTCTTCAGTTGTTTATAACGCATGCGTCTGCGCTATGAATCTTGGTCTGATCTTGGTTCGATCTCGTATTTTCGTCCGTCAAAAATAATAGACGAGGAAAGTATTCTGAGCGGAACGCGAGCGAAGCTTGGTGTAATTGTAAGGGTTAATGATTAAGGTCGGATGCATATGAATAGTTTGCAGTAGAATGTCGTTGAGATGATTGTTTTGGAATAAGAGGAGTGAAGTTCTTCTGTCTCACAGAAAAAGGATAAGGGAACTTTACATCCCTACTTTTCCAAAACAATCATAGCTGCGACATTTTCTCACAAACCGGTCGCTTGCATTTGACCTTAATCTTTGATTTGACCTCTATGATTTCTTGCGCGGTTCGCAAGGTTACTTTGTCGTGAATAATTTAGTAGAAACGAAGAATTTGGACATGTAGTAATATGTAACTGTAAAATATGCAATACGACGGAATATATTAGTCCCTTCTCTGTGATAGGGTGAGTTTTGAAAACTTCATTGTACAGCAGAAGATTATTTGGAAACGTAGAATAAAATGGACCGTGAGTGGAAGAGCCGTTATTCTTGCATATACAATGGAGAAAATGCACAGGATACGACAAACACTGCATCTGAAGGCAAAAAAAAGAGCGCATTGCAAAACGGAAGCGAGTTTTCCATTCAGTCTCGCGTGTATTTTAGTTCCACGCGCGCAGAGGGAAACAAATATCAGAGAGAACAAAGAAAACTACATTTTCCTCTTTCCTGTTGCATTAAAGGATTATAAAACATTCAGAAATGAAATATACTTTCATCGGAACCATAAGTAACTCCTACCACGGAGAAACGCGTTTCTCCAGAAAGTGCATTTACCCTGCAGTTAATCAACAACAGGAACATACTTGTCAGCAATAAAATAGAATAATCCTATATTACACCATTGCTTTGAAATCATACACATGTTATGTCCACGTTACGATCGATAAATATAGCAACAAATACTATACGAGTACATGTATTCGCTCGAAATTCGTAATAGCCACATAAAACTTAAAGAATGACAGCAACATTCACTATGTTTCGTTCATCAAACACAAAAGCAGATCGCTCGGCAATTTTTTCACAAAGCGTGACGGGAATAGCGGCGGAAGAAAACCTTTTTACAACTTCCTCGTGGCATTAAGATCTCCGGGTATCACGGATAAAACAACGATACGCATTATCATATCTATTTCGTAACGGGCAGCGGTGCCGGGTAATTTGTACCCGACGCGGCGAGGATTTCCCTGGTAAAAGTAGGGAACTTGTTTGGATATTCGTCTCACGCCGTAAACGATAATCGGTAGAAAAGTTTCGCGGAGTTCTAAGCGGCGAGGAGACATAACCATTGTCGCGCTCGGGAGAATCGTCGCGAACGTTCGCGGAAAACTCCGAACCTGCGGCGAACTTGTTCGAGCACAATCCCCGACGATCGAGGAAAAAGTTATGCAATATTCGAACCTTCCGCATTCGCGACCACTTCCGCGACGAAGTCGCTTTCAGCGACCGTTCGAACGCTTAAACGCCAACGTGGAATCATTTCCGTGACTCGACCACGAAATCAAGGCTCGCGATTCGAGACTCTGGCCACGTATATTTAAAAATCGCTGCGAGTCGATTATTCGACGGCAAAGGAAACGATTTCGCGCGTAATTCTCACGTTGAAGGAGATTAAAGAGTGGTTTCCCGTTTTTATTCCGTCCTCTTCGCCCGGAGGCGATTTCATTCCGCCGCGAAGGGAAAATTGTGAAATGTGACTTCCGAGAAATCGCGGCTGTACTTTGAGACGGAGGCACGCGAAACGCGGAACTGAAAGATATTTGCGAGGGAGGAACTGCCATTTGTTCGAGTTTCCTTGAGAAGGAAAATTTCATTTTATTCTTTCCGATTTTCTCGAACAGAATGTTTGAAATAAAGAAATTTTTATGACGAACGATTATTAGAGCTTGGAAGATGTTTCAGATAAGAATCGTGAATGATCAAAATTCTATAATATCGATTATATGTTCGGATATATGTATTATCTGTCCTTTTTCTCGCAGTTTTTTGAAGATATTATTTTCTATTATATGATCTAAGAAACGTGTTTAATAAAAAATGCTTTATTATTGGGTGCGAAGGGATCTGTTTCAAATATTATTGCAGTAGATACTTGATTATCCAATTAAATTAGTCGTCTAATAGTCTAAATAAACGTAGGCTTGAAAACACATCTTTTAATTTATTTTTGCATTCTAAGAATGCCAATTATTGAATTCCAATTTAACGAAGACTCTTGACGATCTAGATCACGAGAAATACACGGTTAATCGAGGTTCTACTTTATATAATACTCATCAAATATGAATTCTCTATAAGAGCTCGTAATAATGTAAATAAATAATAATGCCGTATCAAAACTAAATGCTTGAGACGCGAGAATAAATGCTGATAGTTCGCTAAAAACGTTTTTCGTTTTAAAATAACGACGCTTGTTTGTAAATTACCGATTGTGTTCACCTTTGCTGGAGAAAATTCTTATCCGAAGGTCTGCGATTTAGCAGACGTTGAACAGCGGAAGGCACGAGTATCGACGGGAGGCGATGCAGATGTCGAGTTGATGCAAAAAGGTAGCGAGGAAGCTCATGGGCCATTTAAGCGGTCCCGCAGGTATCAACGCGCAGATATCTACGCTCATGAGAGACACCCATTCACTGGCCGCTTTCCGCGCCGATGAATGAAGCATTCATACTTTCATACAAGCCCCGCGTTCGCAAAAGTCTGCGTTTACTTTGATGATCTGAATCGCGCAATCCGTTCTCTCCCAGCGCGGCTCGAACGTGCTTTGCCGATTCGCGTTAATGCACCCGTTCTTGTATTTCCCCTTTTTCCTCCGGCGTCCTTTTAATCGATACCGTCGACATAATGGAAGTTATGCGCGCGAATCGAATAGACATGCACAAAGCTAACGATCGGTGTCGTTCGTTAATACTAGCGCGCTCGATGAAAAGAGATTGGAACGTTTTAATGTCTGTGCCTATGGATCACGTCCGACTGAAAACGTTCGAGGGCGTAGATTGTTTATCAGAGAATATTTCAGGCTGAAATTGTTCAGGATTGAATATAGAGGCGTGTTTCTGTAGAAGAGTCTGGCTCTTCGTATAGAAAAATCAAATTGGTTCTAGCTTTTAAGTGCATTTGAACTTGATTTTTTAGAGTCTTCGAACGTTTAGGAATTCGTCTGCGATTGTCGAGATGATTGTTTGAATGTAGAACTGCATAGCAGATTTTATGGTAAATACAAGATATTTATATACTTTTGGTAGTGTTATGTGTCAGTTAATGAATTCTATCGTCGTCGATGCAGCAACTTACGATCGCGCCCTAGAAACGAGAAATGAATCACGAAACAAAATGAAGTGACCATGAAATCGTTGCTCAGCCGTTTACCAGAACTAAACGATTAACCGGCAACAATAAGAAGCTGAAACACAGAATGGACCGTAAAGCGAGAAGAGAAAGGCGACTCGAAACCGCGACGAACAGTGATATTAACGCGTGCAACGACCCTGCATGTTCGTATCCGTAATAACGAGACGCTGGAGGGTTCTTTCTCACCGTTTATGAACGCAGTCGGTCCCTAGCTACCGTCGAAAGATTCTACTAAGAGACCACCAGTGCAGAAGTTATAGATGAATATTCCAGCGTATACCAAAATAAATTAAACTCAATAACAAATTAAAATAATTGAACCGTTTATTTTGAAGATGGCTTAAGTCGATTTTTCAAGCAAATCAAGATTACGATTACGATAGTTACGATTCTACATTACCTTCTCATTTTTAAACGGTTTTTTTTAAAGGATCTAAGCTACTTTCATAATAAACATCAAAACAAATACTTAGAAACGAAAATAACGTAACTGTGATATGTAAATATATCGTTCACTAAATTCATTCACTAAGTTCGTGCTCTATTCTCGTAGAAGAGAAGCTATTTTTTTCTATTAAGATCTTTATTATGATATAAAGTACAATACAAAGATCAGCTTGTACTTGCTGTTTAGTATATTATCAGTCACTATTATCTATGGTCGACAAAGTTTTATTACCGACACTGAAAACGTGATTATTCACGCGGTCGAGTGGCGTTTGATAGATAGGTATGTTCTCTTTGCGGGATCGACCGTCCGATAGCAAACAACACAGATCTATCCACGAGACAGAAAAGTACACAGTGCTTGTAGTCCATCGGCCGTGGCCAGGTTGAGAGGTGCTAATTATTCTGTTTGAACAGTTGCGCCCACGAAGCGATCGTTTGTCGTGGCTACCCCTTGGTACATGCGTAACGTATATTTGCAGCCTTTTGTGACTTGCAACGAGAGGAGAAAATCCATCCATCCTATCCTTTTTCATTCTCATTTTTACGTTCACTTAACATTATCAAAAATCATATGAACTGGTAACAGCAACCTTTAAAAGTTAAATGAAACAAGTTCAATTAACACCTTCAAAACTTTACCATCAAATTAACAGAACGTTCCAAGTAGCATTAAAAATGCTCTCGACTGGTAACGCTAATTTTCAACAGTTCAATGAAATAAATTCAATTAACACTCGTAGAAACCCAAGGCTACCACACCTAATAAACACAAGAATAGACCAATAAATTCGATCAGATCGAGAGAACCTAATCCGAACACGGTATTCCACAAGATAATCGTTGAACGACCATCTCATCCTTTAATATAGATGTCTCTAATCGTCTCGACGGAGCTCATAACGGTGTAACTAGCACACGAACG